ATCACTGCTTACAAAGAAAATCATACTTAATAAAGTGAATAATATGAAAAAAAATGTCCGATAATACAAATTTAACAAAGTTGCAAAAACCATACTAGAGTGAATATTGTTRTTAGAATTTGATAAAATTAATTGTGAAATAAGTCACAGAGGATCAAATCTAAAATTACTCTTTTGAAAAAAATTGATGGTGTGATTCATGGTAGAAAATTGTGAAATGTGAATATAATAATTTTAAATAAGTAGGTAGTAGGCATCTTGTGCAATTATTCATTGTGGGTAGAGTAGAATTTTTAGAATATTTATTTTGCAATCAAATCAATTAATACCGTGCTTTTACTTTATATATCACCTACCACACAGAATTTCCCATGAAAAAGAATTTACAGCAAGATATGGTCCTAAATTTGCTGTGCTCATTTACATCTTGAATAAATTCCAGGTCAAAACATGCATGGGGTTACTCATTCAGATGACATCCTTAGTAACGATGCTTTGCTTTCTTTGGAATTTTGGTCCAATATTTTACTACCTCATTTAGACATTGATAACTTTTTGATCTTTAGATTATCTCTAGTTATAAGTAGACTATGAAAATAAATAATTAACAATATCACAGAATATGGATATAAAATGCCCTAGGTCAATAGTGTTTGGGGAGTTATTAAAGGATTTAATGCATGGAAAAAGCTTATTGGTCTGTTTTCCACACAGGGCTCATTAAAAATTTGTTGAAATTTTAATTATKACATAACATTTAAAATTATTATTGTTATTGTTATTACATACATATAGATCACATATAGTCAAAGAGCAATGTAAATATCTTAGCTTTGAATGACTTTGTGAGGCACCCTTACAGATGGCCTTGAAATTCAATGAAATGGAAAATGTGAAAACTGTAATTCTAAGAATATAATTAGGTACCATGAAACTATTAATTGGCTAGAATAGTAACTCAGAAGTTTGTCAATGGGATGCTATCTTAATCTCACATCTGGATATTCCTTATCCTTCAAAATATTATAGTTTTCATAAATATAAATCCTTCATCACTAAAAAAATGATTAATATTTCTTTCTCAAAATAGTATTTCATTCAAGTTACAGATTTTGTTCTTTCAATGTGCCTTTTAGCTGAAAAATAATGAAATATTTCCTTAAAATTTTAATGTTTCTTGGCCTAAGTTGAAAAAATCTCCTGACAGAATTTACCCAGAGTTTAAAACTGTGTTTGTATATGTAAAATGTAGTTATATATGGCAAATGGGTCACTGAATACTGTTCAAATTCTTATGTTAAAAAAGGAAAACAGACTTACTTGATAAAGAAAACTTCCTACAAAACATAAATTAAGTAAAATTCAGCATGAAAGATTAAATGGCTAAAACCTGAACTAAATAGTTATGCAAAAAAAGAAAAACAACACATAAATATGAAAACAAATTCCAAAGCGTACATAAACCTTTGTCATCATAGTTTAGCTTTTCAAGTTTATGAAGTAAGTTAACTATACTAAAAAGAGAACATTGATGTTAAAAGTGTTTATAGTTTT